TAGAAGAAAATACAAGATGCTTCCAGTGGAAGAATCCCAGGAGGAAACGATACTTCCTTTCTTTCTGACTCAGCTAGAAGCAGGAAGAATCTTCCTTTGCATGCTGTATTCGTTACACACTGTAATTTATTTGAAAGAGCACAGAAAGATGAGTCAGGGGATCCAGGACCAGCCCAGTCTCTAAATCACTGTGCAATCTTAAATAAATCAAATTCCCTCTCTGAGCCTCTGTTTGCTCATTTCTAACATGAGAGCTTTAGATAAGACTCTCTCTAAGGTTTGTAATTTCTAATATTAAGATACTATGGATTCAAAAGATTGCAAAAGTGTATCATATTGACCAAATAAACTAATGAAAAAATTTTAAAAATCACCTTGAAAATGAAAACATGCAACATATGTCTAGCACTTTACAGTTTACCACTCACTTTCATATATATGATTCTCACAATAGTCCTGGGAGCTTGAAAATGCAAATATTATGATCCCACATAACAGAGAAGGAAAACAGACCCATGGTCACATAGGTAGCAAGTGATTGAACCTGGATATGAAATCAGGGCTACCTGAAACCAACTTTTGCAAATTTTCTATTCTACCAAAAAGAATGCATTTCAATGTTCTGGTTGTTTACCCTGAAGCCCTTAAGTTTCCAGTGAATCTTTAATTAAATTACCCACATATTTTCTGTTTGATTGTAGGTCTTCCTTGTAGGCTCAAAGATTTACCAGGATGGGAAATTCATTTGCACAAGGTTGTCTTTACAATGTTCACAGTCTAGATTTTATTGAAGGACATGAGAGACACTCCTACATAGGGAGTCAGTAACACTGGGGACTGAGAGAGCAATCTTGAGCAATCAGTTCCTAAGAAGCTCTGTTATGGCCAAAGCTGTTTGTTCCGTGACCTCAGCAAGAAACCAGAGAACAGCCCCAAACAGAGCTCGAACTATGTTTATACACAGGGAGGCACCTGCTCTAGTGGGAAGTAGACTGGACTGGCAGCTTAAGTGCTGGGCAACTTGGAGCAAGCCACCTACATCCTTGGAGTCTGTGTCCCCACAGGCAAGTCTGCCTAACATGGGCACAATGCCTAACAACTTATCCTCACTTTAACAAATAGGCTCAGATATCTTCTCCTTTAGGGAATCTTTCTGCTAACTTCCAAGTCATAGCCTTTGTCTGCTGTAGTATCTACTTATTGCATATGTGATTGTTTTTAATGTTCACTTAGCTCAGTCTCTCACTAGACTGGGAGCTTCTTTAAGGAAAGAACCATAGGATTTTTTTCTATATATACATATATATTGTATTTTTCTGTCCAAGCTATCCAAATCTCCTAGAGAATTCAGACTGTCCACAATATTTCACTCTGGCAACGTCTTCCCAAAGTCCTCAAAGACCTTACAGGCCCTCCTCTCAACCCTTGTCCCTCTGAGCCTCCATAGTACTCCACAGCACTCATTTCATCTTCACCACACTGGCTTCCTTGCTGGTTTTTTGTGTTTTTTTTGCTTGGTTTTGTTTTATTTTGTTTTTTGAGACAGGGTCTCACTGTCGCCCTGGCTGGAGTGCAGTGGCATCATCATAGCTAACTGTAACCTCCAATTCCTGGGCTCAACTGATCCTCCTGCCTCAGCCTCCTGAGTAGCTGGGACTACAGTTGTGCACCATCATGCCAGACTAATTTTTCTATTTTTTTGTAGAGACAGGGTCTCGCTATGTTGCTCAGTCTGGTCTCGAACTCCTGACCTCGAGTGATCCTCCCACCTCAGCCTCCCAAAGTGCTAAGATTACAGGTGTGAGCCACTGTGCCTAACTCTTGCTGTTTTTTGGACAAACACTGGAGCACACTCCTGACTTGCCCTTTTGCTGGGTGCTGTCACCTCAGTCTTCCTTGGATGCTCTCCCCGAGAAACTTCTAGGCTGACTTCATCAGCTCCTCCATGACTTTGCTTGGATCTCCCCATCTCGATGAAGCCAGAGTGCCCCCTCCATTCTGCTCCCTGCCTCCCTGAGTAGCTCTCGGCCACAGCACTACTGCCCACGCTTAGCTTCTTCTTCTCTTCCAGTACACTATCAACTTTAGCCTATGATGTATTATTGTGACTTTTATTTAGTGTCCCTCTCCCCCATACAATGAGGAAAAGCAATCTTTGTCTTATTCACTGTAACAAAACACACCTCTAGAAAAGCATGGGGCTCAGAGTAAATGCTCACATATAGTTGTTGCATTGAATTAACTCTGTCCATTTTTTTCCCTGCTTGAACTAGTTAAGTCCTCCAGGAGAGTAAGGCTGAGCTCTTCCAATATTTTGGGCCTACACATTCCAGCGAATCACTTTGACTCCCCCCTGGCCTTTGTGCAGATAGGATCCTATGCGGATAGAGTCCACAGCATAGCTTTGCCCACAAGAAGTGATGAGTTCTTTAATATAGCATATCTCATCTAACTATTCTACAACAAGGGCTTTTGGCCTTAAAAAAAAAATCTTGTTCCTTCTTACAAAATATTTCCAAAACTGAACTTTCCAAATGAGTGGAGGCAGCCAAGGCAGCCTGGAAGGTGGAATGAGCTGCCCTGGTTTGGAGAGGACAGGGCTGGAGCAGGAATCCCTTTCTGTGTCCTCGTCCTCCTCACTTTCATTGTCTGTCCGCCTCTACGAGTCGTTAACTGTGCTAATCACAACTAAAACAAAGCTAGTAATTGCTTCTTGGAACGTTGTGTAACACCGTGGATCGTTGCCATGGGCCTCTGAGAATCGGCCCCAAACTCTGCTCAGAGTAATTTCTCAGGGATTTTAACTCAGCCTGTCTTTAAGCTGAATGTTTATCATTTTCCTCTTTATTGTTTCTGGCTCCTCCCCTGCCTTTGAAGTTTCTGAAATCTTTAAGCATTTGGCCGGTCCTATACACCGCAGGTCTTCTCCTCAAAGAGGGCACCTGGCCAAGAGAAAGGAATTGGAGCTCCTCTCTTGGCCCGGCCTATAAAACAGTCAGATCGCTCCGCAGCCTGCCATTTGAAACGTGAGCCGTGCTAAAAGTACAGATAATGTAGCGTGTTCCAAGGAGATTAGAATATCCCGGTGGGATTTTGGGTGAATGGAGAAGGAGAGTAGCGAGTCCCCTGCACGCCGTGTAACCCTCTCCTTTCCAGACTGCACTGTCTATGAGGGAAGGTCAAGACCATGGACCTGCTCTCCCTCCTCCCCCACAACCACCCTGATTTGAGGAAAGTTTCTAGAGTTTATAGCTGGACGCATGAAACTGTCTGCCTGTTCTCCTCTGCACTGTTTGGTAACTTCCCTCAGTAGCTGTCCTTTCTTGGCTTTGACAAGGAGCCCATGGCTCCCTCACAGGGGAGACACCCCCTGATGCCACTGCCCTTGTTCTCCTCCAAAGTGGAAAGGGATTGCTTCCCCAGCCCCCAATCCCTTCCAGGGTTTTCAGCTCTTTTGACAATTTCCAAGAGAAGGGGTGGGTTCCAGCCACCACGCTGTGAGGAGACCCCTCATATCCCGCCTCAGAGCCCAGAGTGAGCATTTGTATTGAAGAGAAAACATATGATATATTTGAAGTTTAATTTTCTTGAAGTAGATCTGGACCTAAATGAGCTATTTTTCATTCAAACACTCAGTCAACAATTAAAAACTTTAAAAAGTTGAGGTGACTGGTCTCACACTACTATAATGTCTATTTTTTTTCACTTTCTCAACATATGCTTGTCATCCTTTCTACCTCATCCATGGAGCTCAAACTCAGCCTCAATGTGGGACCAGTAGCACCAGGGTGAGGTCTGTGCACTTTGTAGAAATAACGCTAGCAGGTAAGCCTACAAGATAGAGCCAGGTGAGGCAAGATGGTGGGGCTCAGAGTGTCGTATAATCAGGTGCTCTCCAGAAGTGGAGGGGCAGATGGGGTAACAAATGTCTGCCTGGAGTAAAGATGTGGCAGGACCAAGCCTGCCTGTGATGTGTCCCAAACCTCCAGTGACATCTGTCCCTGTGCAATAAAAGCTGGGCGGACTAGGCAACTGATGACATTACAGCTCCTGATGAAAGAGGGAGTTGTTGTCTTGCCCGCCTGCTGAGTTGTAGAATTCTGAACTTCTGTCTTGTCCTACTTCAAGCCCTGTCACTGTTTTGTGGGGAGTCAGGAGGAAGTGTTATGAGGAATGTGGCAAGTAACAAAGAATGCTCCCATGTGAGGAAAAGCAGCAAATGTCACAATGGCCCTGCCAAGATCACACTTTACTTAGTTATGGAATGGCTGATGCCCAGGGGTTGAAAGGCTCACGTTGGTGATTCTGTCTCTCACTCAGTGGACACTGAAGTTCCAGCTATAGATGCCTGTCAAAAGCCCTCCCATCTGTTTGGAAGTTTCCATTGATGGTGGGCCTCCAATTACTGGAGGCAACCCAGCCTATAATCCTGCACCATATTTTTTGGATTATTAGAAATGTGTGATAATGTGGTCTAAATGCATACAGAATTGATACTCATCTCTTGAAAAATATCAAAATATCATGGTCCCCATAATTTCCTAGGAATTCCCATGGAAAATTTGTGTGTTCTCTACATTTGTGAAGACAGCCACTTGTCACCACCTCCAGCTGCCAAAGCTTAAAGCAGTAGCTACTGTAAAGGTCTCACAGGACACTTGTGTCACCCTGACTCTCAGCTACACCTGGCTGGTGGTTCACTCCCTCCCTCTGCCATAAACCACTATGAGTCAACATATCACATTTTTCATAGCACTGAGAAGAGCTGTGGATGCTCTCAACATCCAGTGGCTGCAAACCATGCCAGGGATAGAAAGAATCAACTTTATCCTTCCAGAGAGAACTGTTAGTTCTCCCTATCCTTCATGCCATAAAAAGAGGCTCACAATAGTTAAACCTGTACACATACACTCACATGCACACAGCATTTTAATTAGAAGAATTTCGATTAATTTACCACCTTAGTTCAGTTTCCCTAGAAGCAGACCCTGAGATGACAATTCAAATGCAATTGATTTATTAGGAGAGTGTTCCCAGGAGAGCCTAAAAAAGGAGGGAGCAGGGAAGCAGGAAAGGAAAGAGGAAGATGTCTAGCAAGGGTGCAAACTCAGGTGGTGTCCAGCCTCAGCTTGATCACACAGGAAGGCTCTGGAGTAGAAATTACATCTCAAGATTTCATTCAGACTTGAAACAAGGAAGCTGAGGGTTCATATTCTTTACCACAGTCAGTCATTGGCAAAGCGTCACCACAGCAGGTTGCAAACTCTTGGGTACTTCTGGCTCTCTGAACTGCTGGGTAAAGTAGCTCCAGTAGACCAAGGGTGCTGTCTATTAGAAACAAAGGCACTTAAAAGCCAGAGAAAGGGCATGCAGAAATGTAAAAGAGATCTGTGAGGGTATTAGAAACAAAGGCACTTAGAAACCAGAGAAGGGGCATGCAGAAATGTAAAAGAGATCTGTGAGGGTATGGACAGAGCATGAACCTGTCCATTCATTCACTCATATCACCCCCAAACACTGAGTGTTATTGGCCTTAGACTCAGTATGCCTCTGATATAACTTGGTATCTCTACAGTAAGAAATGGGATAATTTTTTTTTCAAAATATTAAGGTGGTACAAATGTTGTGGGTTTTTTTTTTTGTTTTTTTTTTGTTTTTTTTTTTTTTGAGACAGAGTCTCACTTTGTTGCCCAGGCTGGAGTGGGTGCTGTGGCATCAGCCTAGCTCACAGCAACCTCAAACTCCTGGGCTCAAATGATCCTGCTGCCTCAGCCTCCTGAGTAGCTGGGACTACAGGCATGTGCCACCATGCCCAGCTAATATTTTGTATATATGTTTTTAGTTGGTCAATTAATTTCTATTTTTAGTAGAGACAGGGTCTCACTCAGGGTAATAATAGCCATTCTGACAGGGGTGAGGAGGTATCTCATTATGGTTTTTATTTGCATTTCTCTGATGATTAGTGATGTTGAGCCTTCTTTCATATGTTTATTGGTCATTTGTCTATTTTCTTTTGAAAAGCTTCTGCTCACGTTTTTTTCCCACTTTTTAATGGGGTTGTTTGATTTTTTTCTTACTAATTTGTTTGAGTTCTTTGTGGAATCTGGATATTAGCCCTTTATCAGATGTATAGCTTGTGAATATTTTCTCCCATTCTGTAGGATGCTTATTTACTCTATTGATTATTTCCTTTGCTGTGGAGAAATTTTTTAATTTTACTGAGTCCTATTTATTTACTTTTGTTGTTGCTGTATTTGCCTTTGGGGTCTTAGTCATAAATTCTTTGCCTAGGCTAATGTCTAGAAGAGTTTTTCCTACATTTGCTTCTAGAATTTTTATTATTTTGTGCCTTAAATTTAAGTCTTTTATCCAACTTGAATTAATTTTTGTATATGGAGAGAGATAGAGGTCCTGTTTTATTCTTCTGTATGTGACCATTCAATTTTCTCAGCACTATTTACTAAATAGGGCTTCCTTTACTTTGTCAAAGATCAGGTTGTAGGTAGATGGTTTTATTTCTGGGTTTTCCATCCTGTTTCATTGGTCTGTGTCTCTACTTTTATACCAGTACCATGCTTTTTTAGTTAGTATAGCCTTGTAGTATAATTTGAAGTCTAGTAATGTGATACTTCTGGATTTGTACTTTTTACTTAAGATTACTTTGGCTATTCAGGCTATTTTTTGGTTCCAAATGAAGCATAGAATTATTTTTTCTATATCTGTGAAATATGACATTCGTAAAAAATGGGACAAACTATTAATGGTAGTTAAACTCTGGAATAGGGTGGGATTGGGAAAGTTCTGCCTCATTTCACACCCTAATGAGTAGATATAATGCAGTCTTAGTCCACACTGTTTGATGTACATTCACATTTTTAAGTCATTTTATATAGGCTGGGGCGAAGTCTTGTTTGCTGAATCTCTGTGTGCATATGAGCATGGTCATGTCTCCTCTTTCACTAGAATTTTTTATCCAGTTACTCATCAAGACCAGTCAAATCACCTCCCAAAAGATAATAAAGATTTTTATGAGCGAAACTGGGGCACATCTCCCAGTTCTAGAAATGCTGGCATCTCTTGGAAGATAGACTTTATGTGCAAAATCACCTACATTAAACTCCTTTGCAAAGACAAATACAAACTCAAATAAAGCTGCTTTTATCTTCCTTATAGTAAACAATCCAAAACCTAGAGGACTATTAAATCAGGTCTTTATCTTTGTGGGTATATTTTTATTTAATTTTCCAATGATGACTGCTAGATCCCTGGTGCTTCATCATTTTATGCCCAGAAACCTATAACATGGCAAAGAAATCTCAAGACATAACCATTTCAATTTTATCAGAGTTTTAATGGCCCACCATTAGGTTCTGTTTTCATTTTCTCTCTCTCTCTCTCTCTCTCTCTCTCTCTCTCTCTCTCTCTCTCTCTCTTTCTCTCCCCACTCTCTCCCTCCCTGGAGTAAGTGAAAGCATATGCTCCTTTCTCCTTCTCCCCATGACACCTAAAAAGGCAGGTGAGAGAAGAACCCAGAAAACAGCACCATTAAGTCAAACCAGCCCACACAAGTTCAGCTCTCATGTCTGTTTAACATAATTTATCCTGTTTCCTCCGACATCCCCTTTAATCCCTAGCACATAGTGCTAGGCATTCAGTATGAGTGGGCTCCTGGGTCCTTCCTTCTTCCTCTTTGATAACTCTGGCCCTACTAAATTCCTTCCCTTACACTCTCTATCAGCCCCCACCCCTTGTCTTGAGAAATTGTTTTCCTGTTTATCTGGTTGTGCACTGTTCACTGCTCCTGTGGAGACAAAGAAACTCATAAAGCCCTATTTTCAAACACTTACTATGTCCCAGGCACCTTTCATCCATCGATCTGCACAGACTCCCCTTTGAAGTATTATGATTTTCCCAAGAAAACTGAAGAGGAGGTCAGTGACTCTTCCAAGATGATGCAGCCAGGGGAGAAGCAGAACATGACATGGACCCCATGTTTGGCTGTATCTAAGTCTAATAATTTCTGTCCCACTGCATTTTCCATTCACTAGACTATGCTTTGAGTCTTCAGTTCCCATGCTAACACCACAGCATAAATATTTCTGAGACCCCTCACATTGGCTATCCAACTATGGAAAAATTGACATCTTCTTTCATTCAAAAATGTCTATAATAGACCAGCATTTTTATCAGCCCTGAGCTAGACTGAAAAGACTCTGGTTTATGATTGCCACAGAATTATTTTGTAACGAAAGTGTTTAAAAATATATTGTTCATTCAAATGACAGTCCCTATAACTTGCAAGTCAAAATGTCATGGTGGTGAAATACTCATTAGTCAGGTGCTATAGGTTCAGTGGAATGTGCTAGGACACAGAATCTTTAAAAGCAAATATAGTCTTGTTAAGCTGTCAGATCACATAATATACAGCCTCACGCAAGGACACTGTCATCAGGAAAAAGGCTTAGATTGTGTACTCCAAGTACACTGAGAAACTGGTTTCTGGAAACCTTACTTTTCATTGAATGCACTTTAAAGCCGAGTTAATGTGTTTCCTACTGTTATAACAACGGCATGTGAGTCACATATGTGGTTTCGAGATTCCTAAACTGGATCTGCATGGCTGCTGATGTAATCAGAAATAACCTCTGGCTGTTTGAGACTAGAAGATTCAGGAAGAAAACTGCCCAGCTTATGCAACTGCTGATTTGTATTAGCACTATCACTAGCATTCCCAGCATTCAGATCTCTTTGGGAAATTATTCATTAATATTTGGTTTTCATTTGGAAAATTTCTCTACTATGAAGGCAAAATATCTCTGTGATTCAGCCTGAGAATTTATCTTGATTCACCATCTGGAGGTAGTTTGTTATGGAGAAAAGAACATGGAGTTGAACTCAGGCAGATTTTCCTTTGAATTTTAGACCTGTCACTTACCTGTGTGATTCCAGAGAAGTTAATTAACCTCTCTCAGGCTCAAATTTCTAATCTGGAAAACCAGGAAATTATTCCTACTTCACAATATTAGATATAGAACAGCATCTGGCAAAATAAAAGGGTACAATATGGACAACCAGTTGCTTGGCCACAGGCTTGCCTCCAGGGAGGCTGGCTTGACTAATCCTCCAGGCTGTAAGCCCTGTGTGGCCAAGACAGGAACCTGCCCTAGTTCTGGGCCCTCCAAGCCCTGCTTATAGCCCCAACTCCCAAACAGGGGATTCATTCAAACTCCCCAGGTCTGCACTGGAAGCAAGAGGAAAACGAGAAAAGGGGTGGAAGGGGTGTTAAGCCAGCTCTTCCAAGAGCAATTTCAGATGGGCAGAGATCAGGGTAGAAGAAATCACAAGCTCTCTGAGAGCTGTGGGTGATTCATTAAGCAGAAAACAGGAGGATCCTTACAGGGTGTTTTACCCATCAGAGGCCTGAGAGAAAGTAGCATGAAGGCTTTGCTCTGAGGAACACATGGTAGTACTTGTATCCTACGTCATCTTCCTCTTAAAAAGGATTTCTCTATATATTATTAATAATATCATGTATTTTGAGCCTCACCCCAACACTATAAGTCAGGAATCCTCTTTTGAGATATGAGAAACTATAGATACAGAAACCCTGTATGCCCCCAAAATTCTCTGTGAAATCACGCTAGAGAAATAGCCACATGTTACCAAAGAGTGATGTATCCCTGAGTTTAGATTCCTCTCTTAATTGCATCATGAAATTGGATTATGTCCCGCAGATCTAGGGACAGACAGAAGATGCTATCCAGTTTATAAAGTCCTTTGATGTTTTTGTGGTTCTATTCCAAAAGAAGAGGTGAAAAAATGCAAAAAATGAAATGCTGATATTAAAATTCTGTAGTGAAACTCAATGATATGGAGTGGCTATGTTTATATTAAAAGCTACTATTTTTTTATTTCAGAATATTATGGGGTATAAACGCTTTGGTTACGTATATTGCCTTTACACCACCTGAAGTTTATTGTGGAATTTATTTTAAAAGTTTATTTTTAAAAAGGAAGAAGAAAAATATTCAAGAAATAGTAAACAACTTTATCTTATCAAAGGCTGATATGCAAATGAGAAATTGCTGCCTCTTTCTAATAATTACAGTAAGTGCTTACCATATAACTACTTTACATTCATTGTCCCTGCAATCCAATGGAATGGACATTATTACTATCTTTTTTTAAGAGACAAAGAATGGGAAACTGAGAGAATTTTAAGTAGCCCAAGGACACTCAGCTAGCTTGCAAGTGGCAGAATCAGGATCTGAACATATTCTGTTGTCAACAGGCTTCTCTTACTCTTAACTGTGACCTTATCGAAACTGTACTAGCAGATCCCACACATATTTTCATTTAATTATGAAAAACAAAAAGGTTGTCATAGGAAGGAATTATCATTGTAAATCTCAAATAAGGAAGTTGAAATTCAAAATCCTTATATGACTTCTCCATGACACACAAGTAGTTAAGTGAAGATTCAGAAATTTTGATTAAGAACCGCTGTAGGGCTGAACCTGAACCTGGAACCCTTGAGTCTAGAATGGCCCAGGGCTGTTTCTCCCTCCATATTTGGCATCATGATTCTTGATGAGAAAGAATTGGGTGTTAGTGCAAATTTTATTTCTCCACAAGCAAGGGACTGTTACATTGTACAAAGACATACAAGTGAGACCACCCCATTCAGTGCCAAAATACTCATTCACTCAGTTACTAATCAATACTTATTGAGTACCAAGCATGTATGAGGCATTGTCAAGTACCTGGGAGTACACAGTAGAAACAGAGTAAAGATGAGTCTCTAGCTTCATGGTGTTTATTGGGAGCCCCTGATGCCTTTCCCAGACACACTTTCCCAATACTGATGAAAAAAAAAATCTTTAAATCTCAGTGATTTCCTTCTAACTTTTTCCCTGAAACCCCCATTACCTTTGACATAGTCTGGCTGCTTTTTTGGGTTCTACAGAGCTATGACCCCAATGAGTCTGACCTTAGTGACTCTTTGACAGAATCCCTTGACCCCCTTCCTCCTTTACTAGCCTGCATTAGCAGCTTGTCCTCAGCAACTCCATACACAGCCGACACCATGCTGTGACTTCAAAGCACAGACATGTTCCCTGATGTCATCCTGTTGGTAGACACCTGCTCAGCAAGTCTGTTTGGACTTCCCTTGAGATGACTTTATTTCTACTGGGAAATCACCTTCTAGGTCGTATGGGTGGACTGCATATTCCATCATTTCTGCTGCCCGGTAGAGTTGCTGAAGGGAGATTCCTTGGTGTGGTGATGGAAGTGCTCTTATTTGTTTGGCTTCCCTGAGTGCAAGGGAGGACTGGAAAGAAGCAATCAGATGGGACAACCGGCCATTAGCAGCTTCCAGTTGACTTTTCCAGGCTCAGAAGAGCTATGACCTAAACTCTGCTTCGAGGAGACTACACACAAATGTAAACAATCAGTTTCCAAGGCCGGGTGTCCAACTCCTGAAGTCCTGGTTCCCTCTGCATTGTGATGTATATCTCAGTATCTTGGTAACTGCTGGATAGAGGCTCTCAGTCGAGATGAGCACTGCAGATTGCAATCTCCACAGATGGGCAAGGTCCGTGTGTGCACATCTTTTTACAGTTAACAAGACCCTGCTATTTCCAATACTTCACTTGATACCCATGATAATATTAAAAGGCTAATTTTATTATTCTCAGGTCACAGAGAAAGAAATTAAAGCACAGAGTTAATGGCAGAACTGGTACTAGACAGTAGGTCTATCAACCACTGAATAATTCTCCATCTTCTGCTTTTTCATGAGATCTTCAATATAATGAGAAGATCTTCCTCAAAAGTTTCTTATAAGTGTTGAACTTATATAAATAAATTAATAAATACATATATTTATATGTGCCTATCTATCTCTCTATATATCTATATCTATATACATACATACATGTGCCATCTGGCCCTATGCATGGCATGAAGTAGTCCCCTAGTAAGAAATAGACTTTTTCTTAAATGTAAAGCAGCATAGTATTATATAATTATTCAGCTATGGTTTCTGAACTTGAGTCAATTTGAGATAATAGTCTGACTTTGGACCAGTTAATCTCTTCAGATATCAGTTTCCTTATCTAAAAATGGAATAATGATTAAAAACTTTCTAAGGTTAGTATGAGAGTTGTGTAGATATAAGATAGGAATTTGCTCTCCTACACTGAAGTGTAAGAAATAACCCACCACTTTTGTAAGGTGGAGTTGGGGTGGGAGAAACTCTCACCTCCTAGGCTCTACAAACTCTAGGCTACCTACAAAGATCCAGGAGACTTCCATGGCACCTGAAAAATGAAAGAATGTACTCTATTCTTAAGTCCATAGCTATTCACTAATGTATAAAATGAAAACATTTCTATTCACAAACAGAGAACTCTTTGCTGTCATGCTAAGTATGAGCATTGGACTATTTCAAAAAAGTTGCAAGTCTTTGACTGTCAATCACAGATTATATGGCATCCATGTACCACCCACCAACGGTCTTGGAACTTTTGAGGTGCTACATGGTTCCTGTCACTTGTGGGACCTGCCACAGTGTGCTCTCCCACCCCAGGATCTAGGATGATAGTCTTCATTTATAGGGGCAGTTATGCCTCCTTCTCCACCCTAAATGCCAGCCTCCCTCAATAAGTTCCTCAAACAAATGCCTGAGGGTGGGGGTAGGTAAATGGACATTTTCTAGATGCCTTCTCTTTTCAGGGCTCCCACATAAAAACCTTTAGTAATGCCCTCAAGAGGACAGAACATGTACTTGGACACATTTTTCCAACCTCCTATTATATGGAAAAAACAAGTTAATATCTCAATAAGTTTTCCTGCCAAGAAGGAGGAGGAGGAGAAGAATATATAATATATGTAAAGTATGAAGTACAATATAGCATATTGTAAACACTTATATGATTGTATAACTACTATGCTATTGCAGTTTCATGTTACTTGGACTGCTCTGTGATGCTTCAGTACTTCCTTCCTATTCATTGCTAAGATAGGGGCATGACCTTAGACTGAGAAACTGTGATACAAGTGCTACATCACATGGACAGTGACCAGGTTTTCCAAAATAAATAGAAATTAGGTCCTGAAACCTCATCTGGACCTTTTTTTTTTTTTTTTTTTTTGCTAATCTCCCTCTACTCTCTCATTGTAGTTTGGTTTGGCTCAAGAAAGAGAATTTGGAAAATATTAATATGGAGCAATATCATTTGTGCAAGTATCATAAATATAATGTTAGCAGTTCCAAATCACCAGTTTCTTAAAAGAATAATACATTCTGATGAATCAGGATTTATTTCTGAAATGCAAGGATGGTTCAATTCTGAAAATGTTGATAACTACATTACATTAGATATGGTTAAAGGAGAAAAAACAAATAATCATCTTGATGAAATTTACCATGCTGTTCTTGTTAAACTAGAAATAGTAGAGAAGGTCTAGAAGGATAGATAGTTTAGACATGGTAAAGAATGTCTGAAGTCAGTTGCAAACAATTAAACACCAAGTGTGTTACCATTAAGTTCAAGAACAAGATACAGATGTCCACTATCACCTGTTATTATTTAACATTATTCATAAAGTTTAAATCAGTGAAATAAAGTACTAAAACAATTATCTATTAAAAAAATGGGGATTTAAAAAGTAATCATTATTTTCTGTGCTTTAACCCTGAAAAAAAAGCAACTGAAAATTTAATAGAGTTTAGAAATCTTACTAGTTTAAAATAAACATATAAAAGTCAGTAACTTCTCTTATAACTGTAGCATGGAATTGAAATGTTAATAGAAAAAAGAGTAAATTCATTGTATAAGTCAAATGATGTAAACTATCTAAAAATAAATTTAATAACACTTATACAAACATAATTCAAAATTTGTATAGACCTAAATGTAAAAGGTATAACTATATAACTCTCAGAAGAAAAGATAGGAGTAACTTTTTATGACCTTGGGTTAGGAAAAGCCTTCTTATCTATGACACCAAAAGCACAAACAACAGAAGAAAATATACATAAATTGAATGCCAGACCATAGGACTGGATCTAATGTGGTAGCAAGAAGTATCCCTTCCAGATTTGAATGCAAAGCTGTGACATAAAGTAGAGCCAGACTTTGGGAAGATCATTTTGGCTTCCATGTTGGAGGATGAACTGGAGTCAGGATTTTTGAACAGGAAGAAATTCTGGGAGTATCAGGTTAGTCCATGGACTGATGGCAGCCAACCAAGAAGAGAGGTGGGATTGGTAGTTTCATGCTTTTGAGAGATCAAAGAGAATTATAACCTTCCAAAAGAGACACAGTTTGGGCAATTGAGCCATCATGGGTACATACCAAATACATAGAGTGGTGAGGTATGATGGAAATCTGATTAGAGTATTCTCAACACTCTCCCTAAATATAATAAAAGGCTTACCCTGCTTCTCTGACCTTTGCTGCAATAAGTAGATACCTTACATTATAAGGTAATCTATAAACCTAAAGGACTCATGAGCAGTGTGATTCAGTAGAACAATGCCCTTTGGACAGACAAGTTCCTGCTCTGACACTCACAAGTATTGTGAGTCTGGATGAATTACTTAAGCTTAAGTATTAGCTTCCATTTCACTAGAGTAGGGATGGTAACATCTCCCATGCAGGACTACAGTATGGATGGGAAGAGCCTGGTTCAGACTGACTGTGCAGTCAATGGATGTAGGTCTATTCCCATCCTTTTGATACCTCCTAGCCTTCAACCCTCAAATGGTCCTCCATGCTGGTCCTAGTGCTCTCTGAAGCTAAAATCTGTTGCTTTGAGCTTATTTTTCTGAGGGAATATGTAAAGAAATTATCATGATCTTTTCTCAGTTGATAACTGGGTAAAACCATAGCCTCTCTCTTGATATTCTGCCTTATTTAGCAAACCTAAACCTGCCTCTCTAACCCAAGTGATACTTGCATAAGCTCAGAGGCATTGCTAAAATAAGAATCCCCTGCTACCAGGGGATGCCAGCCAGCTGGCACTACTGACTCCCTCCATCTAAAGGTGCCCACATTCTCCTTCCAAATGGCTTCAATGATAGATTCATATGCTCAGTGCCCAAGGCTCAGCTCCACTTTTAGAGCCTTCCTGTTCATCACTGCCTGTCTCCCAAGGATGGCCAGCAGATGACCAAGGATGGTTTTCTGCTTGGTGCCAGCTAGCCTTGTGAATGGTGCTTTAGTTTGAGAAGGAACCAGGCTGGGCACAGAATGGTTCTTGGCAGACAACATTGGGATGAGTCAAGGCAAAAAGCAGAACCGAGCCTTGGTGAACTTTAGTCACCAGAATGGCATTTGCCATTCAACAAACATTTATTGAGCTGTGCTGTGGCTGCTATTTTCTCACGTGTTGTCTTACTAATTCCTCAGTTACCCCATGAACAGGCATTATTGCCTGTTTTACAGATGAGAAAGCAGACACAGGGATGTTAGGGAATCCTCCTCATGATTATTAAAGGCAGGATTTGAACTGGGGTCTGTCACAGCTTCTCTGCTTCAAGCATGTTCAAGTATGTTAACAAATCCTACCTACACTTACCTGAGAAGGTCTCAGGTTGAAGGGTGTAAGATTTGGAATCTTAGGGTTGTGCTTTCATTAGGGTGATATGTCCCTCTCCCCTATCCCCCACATTCCCCAGGTCTACATATTCATTCTTAAATTTAACCTGTGTCTGAAGAAAACGGAAAAGCAAGAGTGCAGCTCTCAGCTTCTGATTTCCCCGGGCTGACTCTCCAACAACCTACAAGGCCTTCAGTTTACAAGTCTGGCCTGACTCTGCCTGAATCGACACAGCAGTGTTGTTCCTAACTGAGAAGCATGATCCAACGCCAACCCCTCTCAGAGAGTGGTAACATGTCACTGGTCACTGCTACCAGTGTCTGGTGTCTGATGAGTCATCTCTGTGCCCCTGGGCTGCTTACAGCACACCCCCAGCTTGGACAAGGGGTGCCTGTTGAAAACCCAAGCTTCCCCCTCACTCCTGACACAAATCTCATCTCTTGCTTAGGTAAGTGCCTCGTCTGACAATTTGGATCTCTTGGCTCCAGTGCTGAGGACCTATCTGTTTCAAATCACCTTCTTCCCGAGGGATGGACCCAGACCCAGCCCCTTCTGTCAATGGATGGTGCTAGTTTATAAACAAGACAAGCCAAGAATCAACTGTGGAGATGAGTGGGGTAAAGACACTTGGCCCATGGCTCTCCTCCTGCAGAGCAGCTCCCTGTAGGTCTTTATCAGTGCATGATATAATATGCTGTATTACCATTGGGCAGGTTCTCAAGCCAGGCCACATAGTAGGCTGCTGTTTATTACCAGATGTCTAGATTCTAGCCAAAGAGTAAACACTTGGTCCAACCAGTTATCACCAGGGCAGGCAGTCATAGTGCACAGAGCACAACTTATACCCAAGTCACTACAGCCTGGTAGGTGCTTAAGAATGCCTCACATTCCTCTTACCATGCTCCAACAAGAATTGGCCTTATCTAACTTCCAAGTCAGTTACCCATCTAAAGGATCCCAAAGGATTACTGAGATCCCAGCATTCCACGAAGTTCAGCCTGGTTAAATGATCACAATATTATATTGTTTCCTATTTGGTGTGGGATGGACCCAATGCAAAGAAAAGAAGAAACCATCTGGCATTTTTCAAATAGTGTCCTTCTTTCTGGTTCATCATGACTCCAGGTTCCTGTTTTTTCACCATATTTTCATCCATCGCTTATAAAGGAACAAATTTGACCCTCATGAACTCATTTAGAGCCTTGGCTTCAATTGTTTCCTCAAAT